CACACACACACACACACACACACACGCATAGAGACGGAGAGAGAGAGAGACAGAGAGAGAGAGAGAGACAGAGACAGAGAGAGAGAGAGAGAGAGAGAGAGAGAGGAGCCTGCTATGGTGTAAAAGATAGCTTACATTTATTTCGCAGAGTATATATTTAAACAGGTTATTGTATGAACGGTCAAGACACGCACTATTACATAAATGTTCATGATACCCATATATGGCAGTTGAATGTTGAAGGAAGAACGATGTTGGCCGATGACGCAGAGCTTCATGGTAACCCCGGACAGAAATGCAAAACCCAAACTCTCTGATCTATAGCGACTTAGATGTTGGAGCAGTAGACGAGGGAGGTTAAAAGTTAAAGAGGAGGAGAATTGTGGGAGGAAAAGGAAGAAGATAACGGAGACTAGGTGGAGGAGGATAAGAAGAAGAAGAAGAAAAAGAAGAGGAGGAGCAGGAGAAGAAGAAGAAGAAGAAGAAGAAGAAGAAGAAGAAGAAGAAGAAGAAGAAGAAGAAGAAGAAGAAGGAAAAGCATCAACGATGATCAAGAAGATACACAATACAGATAGATCCAATTTTGTTAGAGTTAGAGCATCAGCATGTTCATAATATTCTTTAGCTATGAAGAAAATACAGGGTGTCCCAAGCGAAACAGTACACTAATATGTGAAAAACAAACCTTACAAGTAGATACGTTCCAATGTAATACGTAAATACATGAAATATCATTCCTCTGTTATGACGAAGAATTGTTCACTTGCCCAGCTGGTAATACAGAAATAAACCTAGATTGTGAGTGGGTGGTTGGCAGGTGCCCTGGTGTGGTTTGCTCCTTTTTTCCTAATAAACATCCTTTTTCTTTCCTCTTTCTTTTTTGTGTTTGTTACTCTCTGCTTGCACCTTTAATTTTTTGCACTTAAGTGACTTTACTGAGTTGCAAGTGCCATCAAACTCTTTCTAAAACATTTTAAAAAAAGAAATAGTTTTGTTTAAATCCAAACATAGATGGAGTGGGCAGTCACGTCATTTCACTATAGATACTGGACTGCATACATGATCTTTCTGTTGGCACAAGGCTCGGCCATGATATTGTCGTCTTACTCTATAAAATATTAGCTTCATATTAGTAACATTTTGAAGTCTTATTCTTTTGATAGACAGGATAAATAATAAGAAAAATATGCAAGGTATTGCAGAGAAGAAGAAATGATGGGTAGCCTCCTATCACTCCTTTCATGAGATGGTGACTGGTACTGACATAGCATAGAAGAGGAGTGTCGCTAAAAACATCCAACATGACAAAATTGAACATTATTGACCGCTGCCCTAAAAAAAAGCATGTCTGTCACAGTTTCTGACAATAAGCATGCTATCACAATAATCAGAGCTTTGCTATTTGTGTCACAACGCAGTGGAGCTATTTGTGTCACAACGCAGTGGAATCAGGCGCTCGTCAATTTTGGGCATGTAGAGCTATTGGTATCATCTAAAAGCTGATTTATTTGCCTTGCTTTGAATGAAATAAATATCCATTTATCTCAATTATAAGACCCCTGTTGCAATGGAAACATGTCACTCAACTTCGGAGCCCGTTTTCTCCTTTTCGTGTTTCCGCACCTTGCATACTTAAAAGTTTCATATTTTCCAAATTGTTTTTTTTTGTTTGTTCGTCCTTCGCATTTGAAGATGACCATGACTTCACAAATTGGTCTGTTGATGGTTACTGTGAGTCCGGAGATGGCTGATTAGTCCTATCCGGGCTCGAAAGGTTCGCCCACATTGTGGGCACGGGTAGTCTGCTGTTGGACTTGTGGTGGAGGCAGCTCTGGACTTGCGCACGTTGCGTTTTTGTTTAGCCTCGGCGATTCGCTTGGCCTCTGCTGCTTTGGCTCCCTTCATTAGCTTGCAGCGCCACGTTGGACGATCTTGGGCCAGCGTTTCCCACGAGTCGTTCAGGATTCCAAGTTCCTTGAGGGAGACTTTGAGGCAGTCCTTGAAACGTTTTTTCTGCCCCCCAACTGAGCGCTTGCCATGAAGCAGCTCTCCATACATCAGCTGTTTGGGCAACCTGCTGTCCGCCATTCTGATCACGTGGCCGGCCCATCTGGCTCACGTTTTGTGGAGGATGGTATAGATGCAGGGTGTTCCGGCTCGCTCTAAAACAGCAGTGTCTGGGGCTTTGTCCTGCCATCGGATGCGGAGGATTTTACGAAGACAGCTCAGGTGGAACCAGTTGAGCTGCTTGGCGTGTCTGCTGTAGACAGTCCAGGTCTCGCTGGCGTAAATAAGAATAGTAAGAACCACTGCCCGGTAGACCTTCAGTTTTGTGGAGAGGCTGAGTCCTCTGCACTCCCAGACATTCTTGCGAAGCCCTTGGCAACTCTGGTGTTTATTTCAGCATCTATATGAACGGCTCGTGAAAGTGTGCTGCCTAGGTATGTAAAGTGGTCAGCTGCCTGGAGTTTCTGTCCCTTCACCATGATGTGTGGCACTGTGTATGGTTGACCAGGGGCTGGTTGGTACAAGACTTCGGTTTTCTTGGTGTTGATGGTGAGGCCGAAGTTGTCACAGGCTAAGGTGAAACAGTTAATTTCGTTTTGCATACACTCTTCTGTGCTAGCGTTGAGTGCACAGTCATCGGCGAAGAGAAGTTCCCTGATGACTGTTTCTTTCACCTTGGTAGCAGCCTGGAAGCGCCTGATGTTGAACAGCCTGCCGTCGGTTCTGTACCTGATCCGGATGCCATCTTCACTGCTGTGGAAGGCATCTGTTAGCATGGCGGAGAATACCATGCTGAAAAGAGTTGGGGCAAGGACGCACCCTTGTTTAACGCCGTTGGTCACAGGGAAGGTGTCTGACTCGTCTCCATCCCCTAACACCTTCACCATCATACCATCGTGAAGCTGTCTGACAATGGTGATGAATTTACTTGGACATCCATACTTCTCCATGATCCGCCACAATCCTTCTCTGCTGACAGTGTCGAAGGCCTTCGTTAAATCCACAAAGGTCACGAGTAAGTCGCAGTGTTGCTCCTGGCATTTTTCCTGGAGTTGGCGGGCGGCGAAGATCATGTCTGTAGTTCCTCTTTTGGCCCGGAAGCCGCACTGAGTTTCTGGGAGGAGTCCCTGTTCCAGATGATGGAGGAGGCGGTTCAGTAGGACGCGGGCCAGAATCTTGCCGGCTATAGACAGGAGTGAAATTCCCCAGTGATTATCACAATTCTGCCGGTTGCCCTTCCTCTTATAGATGTGGATTATGTTGGCATCTTTAAATTGTTGTGGGAGCTTTCCCTCGTTCCACATGACCTGGAATAGTTCAGTCAGCTTTTTAAACATATTCGGGCCTCCTGCTTTGTACACTTCGGCAGGGATTTCGTCGGGTCCTGGGGCTTTGCCGTAGGAGATTTGTTTTGTAGCCTCTCTGACTTCTTCTTCCGTGGGGAGGGTGTCAAGGTCTTTGTTGATAGCCACTTGGGGCAGGCGGGTGATGGCCTCATCATTTATTGCAGCAGGACGGTTGAGAACGATGTTGAAGTGTTCGGCCCATCTTTCCAGTATCTGCTTCTTCTCTGTGAGCAGCTGTAACCCATCCGCACTGATGTACAGAACTGGTGATAGTTTTTGGAAATTATGTTAACTAAATTTTGAAATTTCCTTCATATGACTGATATTGACCGGCAGGGACATATTGTGTCAACAAGAACTTCAGGAGATCAGTAAGGGCTGTTAGAGTTTACAGGGATGCAGACCTGCTCATTGCAACAATCCGACTACAACTAAAGCAAAGACAGGGGATTTTCAATCATAGGTGCTGGTACAATGTGGAATTTCTGAGAGAGCCATCGTCAAGAGAGGAGTTTACTGTAGCAGTTAAGAACAGGCTCCAAGGGTTGGAAACACTAGGTAAGGATAGCAGTGTGGAAGAAACATGGGAGGCAATAAAAGAAGGCTGGACCACTGTGTGTCTAGAGGTACTGGGAAAATGGAAATGTGAGCACAAGCCATGGATATCAGCTACAACTCTGTGGTAGATAGAGGACAGAAAAAAAAAGGATCAAGTAAACAGGAGCAAAACAAGAGCAGCCAAAGCAAAGGCCCAAGAAGAATACACAAAGCTATGAATGATGTGAAAGTCAACATACAGACAGACAAAAGAAACTATATAGATGACCTGGCGGGCGAGGCAGAGGAAGCAGCAGGGGCAGGAAACATGAAAAGACTGTATCAAACCACCAGGAAACTTGCAGGCAGAAACAGGAACACAGATATGACAGTTAAGGATAAAGAGGGAAAGCTTCTCACAAATCCAGACGAACAGAAAGAACGCTGGAAGGAGCATTTCAAAGAGTTTGACATTCCACTAGCAGAGATTGATCTGGAGAGAAAAAAAGCCCAGTTTAGTGGGGATCAAGGAGGCGATCAGACACCAGAAAGCAGGCAAGGCAGCCGGCCCAGATGGAATTCCCCCAGAAGTTTTCAAGGCGGATATCGACACTGCGGCAGGGATTCTTCATGGAATTATTGGCAAGATATGGGAAGGCGAAGAATTTCCACAGGATTTGAGAGAGGGACTGCTTGTGAAACTACCCAAGAAAGGCGATCTGCATGAGTGTAAAAACTACAGAGGAATCATGCTCCTATCCATTCCTGGGAAGATTTTAAGTTGTACCATACTGGAAAGATTGAAGGAAGCCGTGGATGTAAAACTAAGAGAGGAGAAGGCAGGATTTCGTAAAAAGAGATCATGTACAGATCAGATTGCAACTTTGAGGATAATAGTGGAGCAGTCCACAGAGTAGAACTCTTCCCAGTGCATTAACTTATTGACTACGAGAAAGCTTTTGACAGCCTAGATAGGGACTCAATATAGAAGCTCATACGCCCTATGGAATACCAGATAAGTTCGTGAGATTGATCAGGAAGATGTAAAAAGGGAATGAGCTGCAGTGTCTTACTTTGAGGGCAGCGGACAGACTCGTTTGAAGTGAAAACAGGAGTTAGACAGGGATGCCTGCTATCACCTTTTCTCTTTTTATTAGCAGCGGGTTGGATAATGAGACAGACAACATCGGGATAGCGCGGTGGCATTCAGTGGACTCTTTCCAGTCAGTTGGAAGACTTGGACTTTGCCGACAACTTGGCACTTCTTTCTCACAGTCGAGCCCAGAAGCAACAGAAGACAGATCGCCTCAGGACCTTCTCCTGTAGTGTTGGACTCCATATTCACACGGATAAAATGAAAGTTCTTCGAAAGAATGCAGTCGATGTTCCTATCACAGTGCAAGGGGCACCATAGGCGGATGTTGAATCCTTCACCTACCTGGGAAGTGTCATCAACAAGGCAGGGGGAACAGACAAAAACATAAAGACCAGAATCAAAAAGGCAAGAGCAGCATTCATCATCCTCAGGAACATATGGATGTCTAAGGAACTGGGATTGAACACCAAGCTGAGGATATTCAAAACAAACGTGAAGACTGTTCTACTGTACGGATCAGAGACATGGAGGCTTACAGCATCAGAAGCAAGGAAACTGCAAAGCTTCATAAATGGATGTCTAAGAAGGATAGCGGGGATCAAGTGGTACGATTGAGTCACAAATGCTGAACTGGGGGAAATAACAAGCTAAAGGCCAGTAAAGGAAGACATACAGGTGAACAAATGGAAATGGATTGGGCACACCCTGAGGAGACCCCTGACAAGCATCATCAGAAAGGCTTTGACGTGGAATCCACAAGGAAAACGTATGAAAGGAAGACCAAAAATGACATGGAGGCGAGCGGTACAAGCAGAAATGGAAAAGGCAGGTACATCATGGAAACAACTAGAATAGGATGCGGAGGACAGGCTTCAGCTGGAGAAATGTTGCCTATGCTCCACTGGGAGTTAAAAAGGGCAAGATAGAATGGCTAAAGAGTCTTTGAAAACAGAAAAATGATATATTTTGTGCTTTTAATCAATGATTTTCAGTAAAATTCACATGGAAAGGTGTTTTAGTATGGACCTAAAAGAGGTAAAGCCAAAATATAAAAATTTGAAAAAAAATTTCCAAACTGCCAGAAAAATGCCTGTTTCTCCGATTTCGTTATTTTGACGAGCGCCAGATTTCACCACGCTGCCTCACATTTATTGTTTGATAGTTAATTTGGAGAGCTTGATGATGGCATGTTTATTAAACACTGTCGTTTTAAGAGTCAGTTTTAACGTAAGTATTAGAGTTTAAGATTGTATTGTTTCTTGTGCAGCACAAGTACATAAAAGTGCATTTGCGGGTAATTTTAAATGACAACACTTCATTTGATATAATGATAAACAATGTAAATGTTTCCAATACCATAAAATTGTCACACTTGTCTCACGTCTCCTCCACTGCCATAACAGATGCATAATCTTTATATAAAACTGTTTTCTTCTCTGGATCCACAGCTGCTGAAATCATTTCTTCCATTTCATCTTGTGCGAACGGTTCTCCTAAAAGTACATAGATAAAATTTGTACATCCTAGTTATTAAATGCATGCTGTTATTAAAATATCTCTAAGTTTGACACCTGAGAGGTTCCAGAAGATTATAATTGTATAAAAGATAGTTTTGAAAAGTAACATGAATTTCAGTAACAATTTAAATACATGAAATGTCAACAAATTTATAAACAGTAATCAAATGTTAACATGAAACAACAACAACAACAAAATTAGATTTAACCAAAGTTTAGCTGAAAACCAGCTACAAGTTGAAACTTCTTACCATACTCCTGTCAAGAAAGCCACATGACAACAGATCATAATATCACATCAAAGATGTTTAACATTTAATGAAATCTAAACATTTAAATGCATGTGAAACCAACCTTAAGAAAAAAACAGGAACGAAATAGATCTTGTCTTATAAAGTGAGGTTCTCAAAGAATATGGCTGCAAGTGAACAGTCTCGAACAGTGGAAAAAAAGAAGTCTGAAATTTGCACCATGGTCACACTTAAAATTCTATGTTTACTGCATTGCAGATAGATCTTTGCAGTACCTCACCTTAAACAATGAGACTGAATGAAGGAACAATTTGGGAAATTGGGAAATGTGAAAAGGTTGGTAAAAAAAATAATCCAAACCTTCTTCAGTCATGTACTTTGTAAGCTCCTCCACTGTGAGATAGCCTTTCATATCCGTATCCAAGACTTGAAAGGCTTTTAGAATCTGATCCTCAGGTGAAGGTTTATACCTGTGGCATAAATACAATATTGATGTTGAAAACAGTACCAAACTTTTAAAGGATGATCAATAAGGTAAAAAAGTTGACGAAAAAACACTCTTTCATGATCTAATCACTGAGTTCAAATTACTATTTTAAAAAATGATAGTGAAGATAAGAGGAGGTTGACACAGAATCAATGAAAATAATACATGTACTGAGTTGATAACTGAAATAAATAAAAAATTAAGGCCCATCATACCTTCGTTCCATTAACACTTTGGTCATCATAGGAAGAAACTTTTCAAATCGTATATACCCTGTTGGTTCCTCCTCTTCAATCTGTCAGAAACAAAAACCGTGTAATATCACAGAATAAATGATAAAACACAGACTTACAAAAAACTGCAACAAATGAAAAGGCCTGCTTATATTTCCCTTAGACAAGCAACAAAAAGCATTGGTAAAGTCATAAAGGATTCCTATTAACTAAGTGTAATTTTGAATAAAGATGTCTTTTCAATAGCCCACGAGTGAAATTTGGGATTAACAAACCGGATACATCGAGAAATCTAAATATTTGCAAGTTCTTCAGAACCTGTGACTTTTTCACCTTTGTTTTCAGTACTACTCTTTAGAACACAAAAATAAGCAACGGCATCAGGTTATGCCATGGATAGATGGAAATAGTAGTCTGTCATACAGAGAAAGCATTAATCATCTCTTCTTTCATCTCCCCAAAACAATTCTAAGAGCTAGAGGGATCTGTATGAGGTTGTTCTTTCCTCCCATACTTGCACACAAGTTTTGAAATGGAAACAAGAAACAAGAAAAAGTAAATTTTTGAATGGCACGAGAAACACACTCAGTAGTCTGTATATTGTATGCTGAAATATGCCAGGTTAAAAAAAAGAGGAAACAAACTGAGTGCTTAGTGTAAGACTACCATTGCCCATTTTGAAAAGTGACACATGACCGAATCTTACATTGAGCAGTCGAAATACAGAAATGTAATTCTCCAAGTTGCAAAATTACAATGTGGGTTTTGTGAGACCACTTGTTTATATAATTCTCCTGAAAAATAATAAACAGAACTCCCCAGCAAGGCTTTACAACACACTGGACATAATTTAGAAAGGCTAAATGCTTTTGCCTTCATCAAAATCATATGGGCAAAGGATCAAACAGGTTCTTTTTGGTGTGAGATTGATCCAATCAAGCGGGCAAGATCCCGAAGACTCAAAACTGATGGAGCCCTTTACATTAAGTAAATCACATGGTCAAGCTCTGAAGCATACATATAAAAAGGTTGTGTTAGAAGTGTTTGTACTTTAAAAATTTGATTCAATAGTGCTCATAAAAAATTAATGCAAAGCCAAGACGCTGCAGAGAAAAATTCAGACTTACCTCCGCAAGCATGTCATGAAGCTCTGCCTCACTGGGACAGCAATTCAGGGATCGGATAATAGTTCCCACTTCCCTGTAACAGGTATGAACAGTACCACAATTTTTAAAAAGGTTCTTCCAAGTAGCGATGAAAAAGAGAATATCAGAGTCATTCATATATATAGATATGTAAACACAAGGTCCACATCTCATGTAAATTTTCTTTCAGGACGAGATAGTTTATTTCCAGCTCTATCAATTTATGAAAGCTACCTTGCAACCCCTGAAAGAGGTTTCAACTCCCTACAAAATACAAAGAAATTCTCTTCGACAGTGGTGCATACGGTATCATGCTCAGTGGCAGTGGGTGGACCAAAATTTGGGTGGAGTTAAGGTTGCCTCCACTTCTTTACCACCAAATAACAAGCAATAAGAACAAAACAGTGGTGATTTTTTTATACCCACAGCGAGCCACAGCATTTTGAGAACCATTCAAACGAGAAAAGTCACCTTTGCCTTCCATCTCTTTGTTCTACGTTGAGTTCTTCTGGATGGTGGGGACGAAGCCGTTTCCCCTTCAAATTTCTCTAATTAATTTTCATCTGATGAAAAAGTTGGCTCAAAAGTGGTTTGATGTAATTAATAACTGTTAAACCTCAGCGGCACACACAAAAACATGCATACACAACACTCCAAACATTTACCGTCTATGAGCTGGATTAGATGGCATAGTCGAAAAAGTAGAGCGCACCTAAAAAAAGGTCCAAAGGGTGGTAAGGTAACTGAGACACTGGATGGAGGAAAGTGTGACGTAAACTTTCACCCCATTGTCAGGGCTTGGAGAGCGCGAGCCCTATCCGTGCAGTGTTATTTTTTTCCAAGTCGTCTACCTTTTTACAAGAGGGGTTTCATTAAGGAGGGGCCATGGGAACAGGCTCGTTCCTTGCTGAGCCCTATAAAGACATTTGATTGGCTGTTAGGTTACTATAGTTGTAAGTGGTGACAACAATGACTGGATAAATGAGCAAGCTGCCGAGTTGATCACTCTGTGTTCATTGCGTGCGGCCACAACGGTATCCATGGCTTATTTAGTTATCTTCATTTGCTTTGGGATAGAGTTGGGGGGTGGGGAGATGGGCTCAAGCCCGTGAGCCATTCACTACCCACCGCCACTGATCACACTAGTAAACTGTATCTGGCTGCGTAGTGACAGTAGAATTCCTCATCCTCAAACCTCAGCATTTTATTTCAAGTTTGTTACAAATGTTATTCCAGCAATGAGCAAGAGGGGACTGATACCAGAAAGGTTCATAAGCATGATGAAATATTTTCTGACAATTTTTAACTTTCTATATCACTCTAATCAACAGACATATGAATGGCTAAGAACTGTGATGATTAATCCATTGAAAGAAAAATGGCTGGTAAGATGGTTGAGTGAATTTCTTCATGGGAAATTCTCGGCTCTGTTTTTTTTTTTTTTCTGATCACAGAGTGATTTAGTTTAATTTTGATTAGGGTTTTACAGTTTTGCAAAAAATATAGATTATATAAATGTCAAAGAATAGAACATGGGGGGTGGGGTATTCAAAGAAACTCTTTTAAAAAGTTAATAAGCAAACAAACAGTTGTAGCCTACTCTGTATTACCCTGTAAATGTCCAGGCACTTCAAGTTTGTTGTTATTGTTAATGTTGAAGTCTAATAAGTAGATTTATTTAGAAGGCAGAGCACCTGGTTAGCTCAAGGGACACCAGGATGAGAGGAAGTATTCCAGAGAGAGTGAGAAACATCAGCCCCCCCCCTTTCCCTCAATCATTTTGTAAGTCTCAATAAACACATACCTGACATCCACTGTTTTGTTAGACTCATGGTCAAAGATATCAAAGGCATCCGTGATTTTCTTTTGGATATCAGCAAGCAGTGAATCTGAATCAGATTGTAAGTACATAAGTATTACGACTAGAATAAATCTCATAGTAATTCCATGAATATGAAAAATTGAATAGACACTGATTAAAACAAATTCAAACAGAGGACAGTACACTTACTGAAGATAAGTTTCAATTATGTCGTATCTCTTCACAATTAGGCATATACCGCAAATTTAGTATGGGTAAGCACAAGTACTGAAAATGATATATCCTAATTTCGAGGGCCATTAAAATGATTAGCAAAACCAAAAACTTCTTTTAACTTGATAATACTTATAAAGCTAATTTATCATGTCGTAGATCTATAGGCGTATTAAAAGCCACACTAGTTTTCAGAGCAATTTCATACATAATATGTCTAACAGTCTGAAATCAAACCAGAACATAATACAGGAGCATATATTATCATTTTCTCTATTTTCCCATCTAAATCATCCCATTTAGATATATAATTCTTCAGTTTATCATTTTCCTCTTTCATTTATTAATTCTCTTGTTCCCTTTTCTTCTTCCCCAACCAATGGTTGCCTCAATTATACTCAATATCATTATTGTTATTTGACACAGACATTAACTGTTTTATTTGACTCTCAGTCTGACAAATTTTTAGTTAAAGTTAGGCCTAAAGTAACTTAATCAGCGCACTCATCAAAGATGATAAGAAGAAACTCAAACAGTACTCTTCTACTCTTCAATTCATTATACAATAGGTCTACATAATATAATACGAAGTGGCTATGCATACGGCCCTCCCATACGCATAGCATTGAGGCTATGTGGCCCTCCACTTCACATAATAAGCTAGGCTTTGTAGGTGGCACATATAAACTATCAAACCAGACACTACAAGTGGGCAAACTTAAACCCTGGAAGCTAGCACGCCCGCCCTTTATAAATGGCGTGAGCCGGGCTACCCTGGAAGCGCACAGGCCCTATTATAGGGATGACCTACTTCCATTGGGAAGTGCACAGCTATAAAGGGCATAGACACTGACCTTTTTTCAATGGAAAATTTCAGCATTCCTTATATGGAAAATGACGTAAATTACAGGTCAAAGTTATAAATAGTGACCAATGACTTTGCAAGTTATCTTCACCTCGTAGAGCGTCAGTTGGCCAAAGAACGTACAACATAACAAAATAGTTCCTTCAGCCAAAAAGGTGTTCGCGGAAGTCCGCACATTGGTTCAGATATGACGCTGCAGTCTTTGTTTTGAAGCTCTCTTTCGTTTCACCACAAAAGAAGAATAGGAATAGCACAGCTTGTTAGTTCCACTTTTATTATATATTTTCACACAAGTAGGGTAACTCAGATCGCAAAGTCCATACTTTTTTAAAGAGGGTGCCACAGAATGTTGAGGACACTTTTTTAATTGGCTGAATTTTAGAGGGGTGAACTATCTTGTTATACACGATCTTTGTCTTGGCCAAGATATCAATCGATAAAAGTGACGCGGTCCAGCTGAGCGATTTTCAAGGCCGTGAGCATACTTCTCAAAATCTAAGGGCCGTACAAAGGGAGGGCCGTACGCATGAGGGCTGTACGCATAGCCACGAGGCTATGTGTACGGGAGGGGGGCCGTACGCATAGCTATGAGGCTATATATCGTATGGGAGGGCCGTACGCATTGCCACAGGAAATATAATATGAGTTTCTGATATGACCATCAGTGCCATCACACCAAACTCGGATCGCCCAAACTCACTGTATCATAGCCATAATATGTAGACTCTATGGCATAGGTCCCTCTATCTAGATTATAAAGTTGACTCACATGCACGTCAGTCATAAAAACAGGCCCTTCTCCAGGGGTTAAAACTGGTTTTTAGCATTCCATATTTACACATTCTTCATAATGGACTTGAACTTAGCTTGGAATCATAGCATTACGGAAATTAAAAACGCAATAACATCAGTATTTCTTCACCTGCATTGTCTTTGTTATTGTTGGTATCTTCTGTCCCGCTTTCGTTCGCCATTGTTGTTTACATCAGTGTTGTTGCTAACGAAATTCAGACGACTTAATGCAGCTACACTTTCGTATCTTTGGTATTACAATAAAAGCTTAAAGAATTGTAGACATTGTACTAATTGTCAATATTAGAATATCTAAATATTTTTTTACCCTGTTTGACACAGGAAAGGGTTGTGGAATCAAATTCTAAGGGTCTGCATATGTTTCTATTTAGTTTCGACTTTTTGTGACGATGCCTTGACCCTGCCTTGACCTCTCGCCGGCTTGTCCCCATCAAGGATACTTACGAGTTGTTGCCTTGGACAAAATCTTCTGCTAGGTTGCACTGTTACTATCAAACATGGTGAGTTCTTGTGACTGAAGTTGATATTTTACCATTGCTTTTTATCTAACGCATTAGAAATTTAAAAGAAGATGCCAAGCATACTTTATAAAGATGATATAATTTTACGAGGTCACTGATCCCTCTTTTTTTCACTCACCACCTTGCCACCGTTCGCCGTGTCTCTGTGTTCAGCAGAGCAGAGAATGAAAGATCCTTGTCAAGTATTATTAGATCTGGACAGTCTAGATCTAACGAGTATTATTTTTGGAAAGGAGAGACCTTTCTGTATTGGATCTGCGCAGGGAATAGGACTTATTATGTATAATTCTAACAATGATATTGTTTTGTCGAATTTAACACTAATAATTGCTTGTTCTCTGCCAAATTTTAACACACTTTTGTGTCTTGTTTTGTATAGAGCCTAAACCTAGAATCTAGAATCTAGGGCTGGTAATGTTTGTTATTACAGTTTGGGATTGGGAAATATAACATCATGACCATCACCAAATTACAATAACACAATATTTAACTCTTTCCGGACGTATCGCCGATATATCAGCGCGAGTCCACACCCTTTGCGGACGACGGACGTATCGCCAATATATCAGCTGTGATAGTATTGTTTCGTTTTAACATGATCCGTCATTTGTAATTACTTTTTATTGTTATTGAAAACTTGGAGGATTTAGGAAAGGGGGCTCTTGTGGCCTAGAGGTTAAGGTGTTGGCCTCTCATTCAAAGGTCCCGGGTTCGAATCCGGGTAGCGACTGAAAAATTTTCTTCTCTAAAATTGTTATTGTCTCCTTTCACCTCTTTTCCTGCCCTCTAGCAATGTTCTGTTGTCTGCTTTCATTTCCACTTTCTGCCCCCCACCCCCTCACCTCCTTTGCTCCCTACTCTGGGCTCCTGACTCTTTCTGCAGCCTTTCTACTGCTACTCCTTGGCTCCTGCTTACTGCTGTCTTTCAGCCACAACCCTGATCTTCTGCCTGAAAGATCTACACCTAGCCTTCTCGTACAAGGGCGAAAAATCTCGAAGGGCTCGTGTGCAAGTTGGGCACGTTAAAGATCCCTTGGTGGTCTAAAATCGAGAAGAGTAGGTTTCGGCCGCCACCCAGGCAAAATTCAAAATTTCCTACCAACTGAAAATATTAGGTGTGTCCCACGCGCTCATTTGACCTTATGCAGTTGCGAGCGCCTTAAAACACTTTACAAAAACAAACAAACAAAACGATTTAGGAAACAAAAACATCTAAATCTAGTTTCACTTTGTCAAAGTGTGGGTTCGGGAAAAATGAGTGAATTAATTCTTGCGGTCTTGCATCAACAAAACGATGTGACCGGACTCAATATAAATATCATAACTCAAAACAAAAATTGGAATATTGTTTTCAAATAAAAAGCTGCGCTTTCAGAAACTTATGGATTATGGTCTTGGCCTGTATATGATAAAATAGCTAGCTATGCTGATTTGCTTTCACATGTTTGGTGAATGTAATTTTTCGCGTCAAAATTTATTTTTCTCATCACCATCGCCATTTCTAACCCTTTTATTGCATACTTATGTTCAAAATTAATCCTTATTTCATGTTGGGATGTATTCCTCATTCAATTTCCTTCAAATTCAATTTGATATCATATGTTACATTTTGAGTGATGTTTATTTTTATATGAAGTTATTTTGTACATCTTCTGTGTAGCCAAATCGAACCACAAGTTAATTACGTCTAGACCCCCCCCAAAAAAACACACCAAAACAACCTAAGTCCGGAAAGAGTTTAAAAAATATCAATCTAAAAAATTTTGATATTCCAATTTTGGATCCTCCACAGTTTATTTTTAATGTAAGCCCAGGGCAGCCAACAACGTGAAGTTGTGTTTCCGTTGTGTAGGCCTTTATAATGAAATATGGTGCATAATAAATATTGTTCCTTAAATGTTCATTGTATTCTGTAGGCCTACTTAGTTATAGCTGTAGGCTACATGAATGCATTTCTATTAAAGCATACTAGTTCAGTGTCAATGTGGTAATGTAAATTAGTTGTTTACTTTTTTTCTTGACAGGTCTTCATTACAAATACAGTCAAACCTGCCTTGACAGTAACCTGTATAATATGGCCATCTATACAAACGGCCACTTTCATTTCCCCCCTTGTATTTTCTCTATATATAATTTAATTGTATAATACGTTAACCTGTCCAACACGACAGCGGCCACCTTGTTTTATCAACCCGCTGTCAAATTTACCTGCCTTAGGAGGCCAGGCGTGGTCACCCATCGCCCGACGCTTTGTCTTAAATTGTGTATCTACCCCTCGGCCCTCGCGCTGTGGAAGGGCCGTCAAAATTAATTCTTTGTCATTTTTGTTTGTCCCTCGAAAGAATGTTTATCCAGGTTGACCAATGGGTAGGTCTAACAATTAATTTTCAGCTGCTGGTGAGGGAAGCGTGTGATCCGTCTTATGAAAGCAATAAGCCCACAACTCACGCACAAATCATATGTAAGGTGACTGATCACTGTTTTGTTTACCTAATCTGTAAAAACAAAGCAAAAATGGACGTTGACGTGAACTTGTCGCCTTGCGACAACTTCTAAGCGTCACTTGTTCTCCCAGTGGTGGCACCTGTGTTTGCGTTTATTTGACCTTTGCAACTAAGAGAAAGCTAACCAAACAAACACCAAACCAACAATACAACAACACGAAAAACCCTTCTTACATCGCCCACTCCCCTTTTTCAAAAGAACTAAAACCCTTTTGAGTTTGCCTTACTTTACAGCAGTCTAAATTAACCATGGTTTGGACCTCAGAAGAAAATGGTTTGCTTTCTTCATTTTGATCCATCCTGCCTAAGACGGCCACCTGAGTTGTATGGCCACTTTCCTCCTTGACAATTGGTGGCCGTTATACACAGGTTTGACTGTACATTACAAGTATCTTAAAAATATCAAATTGTGCTTTACAGGCTGAACCACTCAGAGTTGTTGTCACTGGAGCTGCTGGCCAGATTGCCTATTCTTTGCTGTTCTCCGTTGCAAAGGGAGATGTTTTTGGCAAAGATCAAGTGAGTGCAAATTTCTTATGAACAGACTGCCATCTTTAACTACAATTTCAATAACTAATTAACTTATTAAATGGTGAAGATACTAGTAATTATTTTTATAAACTAAAGCATGTTTGATTATATAATATAATTGCACTTCCCACTTCCATTGATGAAAGCTAGTGAGCTATGTTTTGCGTAAGTGAAAATTTCTTTGTCGGTCAACACATCAAGTGAAATGGATAAAGAAAATGACCACTTGGAGGAAGATAAAATGAGGTTCACTGACTCGTGACTGGTGCTTTCTTATGCCTCATTATTGTGTTAGCATATTTAAAGTGTGTTTTCAAGCATTTGCAGTTTGAATCTAGATTTGATATCAAGGTAACAGGAATCTTTTGACACAAAAAATGATTTTTGACAAAATTCGAGATTTCAAGGTTCCATCAGAGTTCGGATGACATGTGTTTCAGATTCTGTTATTAGTATCACTAATGTTTCAAGCCTTCTCAGCTCGTGGTAAGTTGTACAATATTGGAATAACTGCTTTGAGTCCATTTCATTTTGAAATCTGATCAAATTCCATCTTTTTAAGCATGCATACCTGCCTACTTTTCATATTTTTTTCATTACATTTGCCATCTTGCTGGCTTTGGTTGGTTTGAAACTTCATTCCTGCCTGTGTTTTAAATGATTTAATGAAACTTATGAGGTTGAAGTAGGCCGATATTATTATATTATAATACCAAATGGCCTAGTTTTCCTTGCTCCATCAAGGTAAGGAGAACAAAATTGAACATTTACATACATTAAATTTACATGAAGAGAACATTGACACCATTAAACCTTTGAACCTATGACCTTGTGGTTTCCCAAATCCTCATCCCTGGACTTTTTAAACATTGTGAACCTCATGTGAGAAAAATGCTTTTGAACACTTTACTGACCATACAGATTCTTTGAAATGCTTCCTTAGCTGATTTACCAGCTGTACGAAGTCGGTTGTTTTTTTTAAGTTGGTTCAGTCAGTTGAGAACTTTATTTAACTTTCAGAACAAGAAAAAATCTACTGTAGAATATTTTTGCTTGAAATGAAACGGAGGCAAGGAGCCACAAACTTTGAAAAAGGGTGTTATGGAAACAAGCAAATGTCATCTTTATGTACACTTGTAAGTTCTTATAGATTTTCAGCTGAAGTTAATTTTTTAAAAGTAGCACATGTTCTCTGTACAGTACTTTTGTTTTCTTTTTGTACTCCTCAGCCTCTGGAGCTTCTGCTCCTTGACATCACTCCCATGATGGAGGTCTTGAATGGAGTTGTGATGGAACTTATGGACTGTGCCATTCCACTTGTGAAAAGTATACCTTTTTATTAAAAAAAATTCCTGCAGAAATGTACTTTTACTTTAATGGGGATAACAGACTGTTTCTTCTCCTAAGAAATGTTGGTCGAATGCATTCTTCCAAGTGATGTTTAGGACACTGGGCTTTTCTTTTGATGTAATTTTTCTGTGCATCACCTAGCATATTTATATATATCGGCAACTCTCATTAGTTTGTGAGGGTTTCTGGCTTCATCTCACTGTAGCAGCCTGGGCAGCTTGAAATGAAAAGTTTTGTTGAGAAATTGATGAAAAATGTTTTATGAATAAGGTGTTCACAATTATTTTTTCAAATGTTTATCTTTCTGATGCTATTGGTAGTAGTGGATACAAAATCAAAGGTTAAGTGACTAGACAAGTTTTAGAACAAAATAATTATTGTTTATGGCTTTGTTTAAGGAATGATTGTTTCTGTTGCTTTGAATTCATTTGCCTTTTGCCAGTGTGTGCTGGTGAAGAAAAGTTGTGAGAAATAATCAAAAGCACAAAAATGGATTTTATGTTATTTGTCTTGAAAACTCATCTCGAGAAATATCATTATAATGTGGTAATCATTCCTATGTGTTCCAGACTTGGTGGCCACAGATGACCCAAATGTGGCTTTCAAGGATGTCGATGCAGCCTTCATGGTGGGTGCTATGCCTCGCAAAGAGGGTATGGAGAGGAAAGACTTGCTCAAGGCCAATGTAAAAATTTTCAAGGCTCAGGGACAAGCAATGGAAAAACTGGCCAAGAAGTCTGTGAAGGTAAGAAGCTTCAGTCACGTACTGATACTTTTTTTTTTTGGGGGGTGCGGGGGAATATTTACATAACAGCTGAAGAAATGATAACACAATTGGATCTATTCAAGTTAGTTGTTGTACTCTGAAATAAACAGTGTTCCCGTCATTTCTGTTATAGGCTACCTTTTTAGAGCATCAGTAAATTCCACTGTCTGTTTTTCTGTTTTTAAGAGCAGTTAGGCGAAAGTGTTTATGGGCACAGTTTAAAAGTGTGTGCATTTTGTTTTTGAATAGATATAGACCAATATAGGTTTGTAACCTCCTGTATTCTAAAAATGGTCTTTTCTAGATTTTTTGTTATTTTTCAAGTTAATTTTCAACCTCTTATCTCTAGCTATTAAACTGTTTAGGGTCTTCATTGTACGTACAGGTTTAAAAAAATAATTTTTCACCTTCTGAATTACATCTGGACAACTTGTTCTTATTTTTTATAAGATTCAGATAAGTTATGTGCATATGATTTCATCACTTGATCCTGGTAACTTAATGCTAATGCAAAATGTTTTGAAATCTGTTTTCAGGTAGTGGTTGTGGGAAATCCTGCAAACACAAATGCTTGCATCCTTAGCAAATATGCTCCCAGCATCCCCAAAGAAAACTTTTCATGCATGACCAGGCTTGATCAAAACAGAGCTCAGGCCCAGGTAGGAAATTTAGTTTTTATTCATGTTTTTGTAGTACCTTTGCTCTTGATTTTTTTCAGTTATTCCACTTATCTACTCTTAGTACATTTAAGGTTATAAATTCTTTATACTTTCTTAATAAGTAGCAGGGTGTAATCGTATTGTCTAGCATGATCTAAAAGCATAATTCCTCAAAAGGTCACATCTCGCCGATCTGCGATGTTTGCCAGCCAGTTTCTTTGGATGTTCCCCAAAATGCCTTTGCCTTTGATGGCAAGGGTTTTTGCAATATAATATGAGCCTTGTGATGGCTTAGTGTTAAGCAAATTGAGAACAAAAGAGGTGGAGATGAAAATGTGACAGTCACAAAATGAAAGTTTAGTATTGGGGGAAAAAAGAAGAAAAGGAAAACAAAAGGATTCATATATAGGGTTAAAGAATATGGAGTAAGTCATTTGTGGTGGTGGAGCACTTGACTTTCTCTTAAGATGTTAGTTATGTGCAAAAGTTTAAAATACTTTGGGCCAGAATCAATCTTTTAATAGATAGCTACTTAAATGACATAGCAGTATTTGGAAAGACATAGTGGAGATAAGCATTTTTTATCGAAATGACCTAACAAGGGAAAAACATTGTTATCAGTAGATTTATTATTTTTTTAATTAGAGAAGCAAGTACTGGTGAATGAAATATTACACTTTGCGAGACTACTAAATGTTTAATACAAAGTTCAGTGAGAAAGACTAAAATTGTTGTGCTTTGTTTGTTGTAAGTATTATTGATGTTTCCAAATTCATTGTTTAAAATGCTGTCTAGTCTGTATAGGGGGGGTTACACTCATATGAAGACTGAAAACAAATGTGACAGAAAGCATAAGCCCACAGATTAGATCAAGTGGAAATGAGTGAATGAAAGACCCTTAAAACTTTAATACGCTGATGTCAACAGATTGCTGCTAAACTCAACGTCTCTACGGAGAAAGTGTCAAACATCATCATCTGGGGCAACCACTCCTCCACCCAGTTCCCTGATGTGGCTCATGCCAAGGCAGAAGTTCAAGGAAAAGTTGTGACCGTGCCAGAGGCTGTCCAAGATGATAACTTCTTGAAAAACGAGTTCATCAAGGTATGTGAAATGTGATATTGGTTTGGAATACTGTATATATGGATAGCAATACACATGCTTACTGGTAGATATAATATATTGTTGTCAGCATCTTTTTAACATTTATTGTGGCCTGAAAATTGAAGGGAATTTTATTTCTTCTCTAAGGTCTTTAATAGATAAAAACTATTTGGGGGAATGGATGATTTTTAAAAAAACGCTTGGCACCAAGAGCGGTGTTGCATGGAGTCTTATCGATTCACACCTAGAGCAGTGCTTCGATTGCCATGTTCATGATACTGCCATAGTATGCATTTTTTTTAGCTCCAGGAAGAATGCCTGATTAGAATAGACTAAAGACGAGGCTATGAAGCGAAAGTAGAGTTGATCTTTTTTCTTTGAGCTTTTGAAAGGTTGAAATTGACTCAGAAATAGTATGTATGTGAATTTTTAAAGTAAAAATGACAAAATGGAGGGACAATGAAGTTGAAACTTGAACAAATTCAAGAAAACTTGGAAAATACAAAAAATCAGCCCATGAAGCAATCTTGACAAAACAAAGTGAAAATTCATTTCTTGGTCTATCATTATTTGTATTTCTAAGTCAGTGTAGGAGTTGGTTATTTTTTAATTTGATGAAATAGATTGGTAACGAATGAAAACCCAATAGTCACAACTATAATGGAAGAACTGAATAACTTCTCCATATTGTACCATAGCGGAAAGTGGCTCATTGGAAGCTGCATTTTTTTCCATATATATATATATTTATGTTGTTCCAGATTATTTTATGAAAAATTTCTTTTAAATGAATTTTTTTTAAACATATATAATATACGTGCTTGACATTTTTAGAGGCTTGTCTCACTTCTCAAGGATTTTGGGGCTTGTTCGCGGACAAATCCTTAGAAGCTAAATGATTATCATTATGTCATGTTCATTTATTGAAGTTGAAGGAATTTTTAAAATTAGTATTATATCTGAATTGTAGGGGTCGGTCCATGTAAATTGTAACCATTGAACATGTATAGTTGAAGTACCTTAGCTTTCCATTCTTAGACCATGGTTTGGTCTATGTACTTGCCATAGAGAAGGATACATGATACAATGGGATATTTCTTCTTAACTCACTGACTACGGATCCCGTCACGGGTACGGGGCGGACGGTCAGTTCGCAGGTACGGATCCCGTACCCCCGACGGGATGGACTTTGCGGTCTTGTTCCGTATCTTGTGCTCCCGTCACATGAACGGGAACGGACTCCAGTGCTAGTTTTGCCTCTTGTTTCGTTTCGTGCGGAGTCTGGCAGAAGTTTCGTGATAACTTTTTAAGCAATTGAAGGTGAAGGACAGTCACCTCATCTGGGGTTGACCTGACCAGAACTCGCGCTATGTTTTTTCTATACAAATGATAGTAATCCGACAGTCGCATTGAAGTAACGGTCGCATGAACAAGAAACACATAATTTCGCTGTTTTCGATACTTCTGTACGTTTTGCTAGTTCTAGTGACTCAGGATATGATGTGTCTGATAGTTAAGACCCTGGATATGTACCCGAACACGGCCCGAGTCGTAGTTTTAGGGCTAGATCTAGCACTAGTACTGGTGGTGTTGTTCGCGCAACGAAATCATAATTCGTTTCCTACATCTGTCTCATGTAATTCAGTGTATGGGTCTGAATAAATGCACAGACCAGCTTTTATATTTTCACCAAACACTCACACATGGATACAAATCCAAACAGAACACTTTGAACTTTTATTTTTGTTGTAATTGTGAATTTCATTCTATCTGGAAATTTTTCTAAAAATCAAATGCATTCCAATTTTGAAACAATCATAAGAATTAAAGTATTAGACCTAGAGAACTTAAATTTTTTGCAATAGATTAAGTTTGAAAGTTACTTTACTGTGTCAAAGAATAATTACAATAGGGTAATTCTGAGAGTTGTGGTGGTGTTTTGAAATACCCCCAAAAATGCCAGTACTCAGCGCTAGTGATTTGTGAAAGGGGCCAGTAGTCAGTGAGTTAAAGCTCCTAGTTGGGCTTTTAGGAACTGTTATTTTTGTCTGTCCTCAGACAGAAATCTTTACTGAATTAAACAGACCATACTCTCACACCGCTTTCTCTCTCTCTCTCTCTCTCTCTCTCT